AGACGACCTTTTCCTAAATGAAAATGGGTTAGAGTGAAGCTGAAGTCTAGCGGCGGCCATTACGGCCCCACGGCTGTGATGAAGCTGGACCCAAGAGAGGCACTCTAACTGCAGCTAACTGAAGAACAGGAGCACTCATTACCCCGTCTGAAAGCCAATCACACACCTCAGCTCTGCCGAAGATACCCGTCGCAATGCCTGTGTGTGCACGAGAGAGAGTACAGGACTTGAGTAATGCTCTCCCACTCGGCCCTGACTCATCCTCCATAAGAGTGAGAGGATGGGCGGCACTGTGAACGTGTACATGCCATCTTCCTGTCTGAGTGTTAACAACTCTGCAGAACCGAGGTTAACGCCTACGCTTTAGCGCTATTCTGAAACCTAGAGAGCTACCTCGCTGTCTACCGCCTACAAAGGCGGCATCGGAACCAAAACTAAACCTCATAAATGACTGATTTGGAACATTACTGCATTCAAGTCGTGTTGAAAGGATCATATCTACGAGATGAGCGAACATGAATGCCACCACAATGTCGTAATTATGAGTCTAAGAACTCTTAAATTCAGATTTTCTGAGTTGCAGGTGTGTAAATTAGAGAATCAAGGTGGAAGTAGGGCTGGGCGATTTTCCCGATTTAATAGATTAATTTGAATTTATTGTTTTGCCACGATTTAATTTTTTAGAAATCGAGGAATCGCGATTTTGAATAGAAATATTACCAAATGTTAGACTTAGACACTTTGACAATATGCCGGTGATAACAGTAAAGAGAAACGAATGATCCAACCGCATGTCGGCGTACGTGATTAACCGCTCACGTGTGACGCGCTCTGTGAAGGACCATAAATATAGCGCTAAGCGCCATTCACACAGAATGCGCTTTTGTGTTGACAAAGATGCGACGAGGGCAGTGGAATAGGTAAAACATGCACATTTGCGATAATATCGCGATATGAGAAAACGCGATTTTTCAATCGCAGAGGCTGCGATTACACTCGGTCACGTGATGCGCGAGAGTGAAGAGGTGTGTTCCACTTGAAGATCGATCGGTGTATGACATCAAAGTACGGCGAGAGAAAGCATAAGGAGACGTCCGTGCTCTCTTATAGCTCTCGCAGTACTTTGATGACACACACCCATCGGTCTAAGCAGCGCTGCTTCAAGTCGAGCGTGAGCCATCAGCAGAAAAAGAAAAGAAATAAAACAGTAAACAGCCACAGGACGTAACTCAGAATGGGAGATGGATCGGTTTGTGAAAGGGAAGAGATAAGCCATAGACGAAGTCGCACAGACCCAGGCAGGTGCTGGTCATTTAAAAGCTAAATGTAGAAAATATGACGAGGCATATCTTGCTCTCGGCTTCACTCATCGTGTCTATACCGGACGCTAAAGTTGTCACGTCGCACCGCAACAGCTCTACACTGGACGCGACAAAGTGACCGTTGCAAATCATTTTAACTTTGTGTCAGTACGTCATAAATAGAACAAGGCATCAGTTTAATGTTGGGTTTTGTCGTGTCGCGCCGCATCCAGTGTAGACAGCGTCACTGATTATAATGGGTTGGGTTCTACTGTATTTTGCCGCCCGCGTCCGGTGTAGACAGTGTTTAATGTCGTTGGTGAGGAGGAAAGCCTGTGTGTGTCCTATGCCTTGGCGGACAGCATGAAACCCACAAAATATAAATAAATAACAGAGAGAGAATAATAATAATAACAGTTATTCTCGCTATACTATTTTTCAATGTTTCAAGTAATGCAGGTGTTTTTGTTCCCTGTAGGTTTTTTAAATTAAAAAAGCATTAATTTTTCATAATGTGAATAGTGAAATTATTTGGTAGTCTGAGGTGGGATGGGGATTTGGGAAGGAGGGGCAGATTTTTATATAGGTTTAAAGGGGGGCGCGATCAAAAAAAGTTTGAGAACCACTGGTCTAAAGTTAACAGACAGTGTTTAAAAAGTGCAGTCCACATGTTTACATATGTTTATTACAGTGACTTTGAATTAC